TGAGGCTCACCTGGGCCCTCCTCAGGTTCGCTGGTGGGGAAACTGAGCCCCAGTGAGCTGTGGTCTAGCCACCAGCAGGGTTAGAGCCCACAGGCTGTCTCTGGTCAGTGGGGCGAGCATGGCCCACATCACACCTGCCACAGGTGAGCAGGTACCTTCTAGGGGCGGGGGCGGGGAGGGGGAGGGAGCTAGGGATAAACCACATTGCCACCCCCCATCCCCACTATCCTGTTTCCCTCTCAGGACACAGTGACAATTCAGCTTGGACTATTGGGGGAATCCCTCCACCCGCCTGCATCAGGTCGCCTGGGGGCCCCTGCTGGGGCATGGGTCTCCTGGTGACCAGGCCACTTCCCTTGTCCTCTGGATCTTTGAGTGGCCCCTGGGGGACAGTGCTGCCCCACTCTGTCATCCCACAGTGGAGCAGGACAGGACAAAAGCAAAGGTTTGTGGAAAGAGCCCCACCCCGTCCCATCTGGTCAGCCCCGCCCCATCCCATCAGCCCCGCCTTACCCCGGCAGATAGACCCTCCCTCTGCTCTGTTTATTCGCTTAGACATGGCCCTGTACCCTGCGTCTGGCCAGCGGGCTCTACGTGGCCGTCCTGTGGGCCACTCAGCGCAGTGCCTCTAGACCAGCTCTGAGGACCCCGGCTACGCCTGCTGCACTCACCAGATCCGGCCGCAGCGTCCGCCGCTGGGCACCAGCTCCAGCCCACCGCCCTGGCCCCATCCTCCTGGTCTCTGTACCAGGGCTCCACCCCGGGGCTGTCCAGGAGGTGCGGGGCGGCTGCCTCAGCCGAATCCTCCATGGCCCCAGGAGGCCGCAGGTCGGAGGGCTTGGGGTCGGCTGGTCTGGGGAGAGAGGACAGCGAGGGGTTCAGTGGAGCTGGGCAGGAGGGCAGAGAGCAGGGGTCTCCACTGTGCTGTGGGGACTCTAGGCCCCGGCTGACCCTTCAGTCCAGCTCTGTGAGGCCTGGGAGCCAGTCCCCTCCCCTGGTCCCCCCTCAGCCCTCACAGCCGCGGATCTGAGGGCTGTGTGTCGTTACACACACACTCACTCACATGCACACTCACATGCACCTCACCCTCTCTGTCATACACACACACACACAAATATAGCCGTGTTCACATGCACACACCCTCACCCACACACATTTACACTCACCCCCTCAACCTCTCAACCGCCCACACACCCTCACACACACAGCCTTGGTCACACCCACTCACACACACACACACACACACACACACACACACATACACCTCCACCCTCTTTCACATACTCCTACATACATACACACATGTGCACACAGATAAACACAGCCTCGCGTTTACACACCCCCTCGCATGTGCACACTCATACATTCCCACACGCACTCACATGGACACACCCTCACTCATGCCTGGCCCCTCAGTTGCATGCTGTTTGTGCTGCTCTCGCCAACCTCAGAGGCCCCAGCAGCCATGGGTCTGGCCCAGAGACCAGCCCAACCGTGAGGCTTCTCCTAAGCCCCTTCCCTGGCGACTTGGGGCTCAGGGTGTCCATCCCATCCTGGACAGGACATACAGGTGCCTCCCCGCCTGTGTGCGTGGACCCCAGAACCCTTACCCCATTCTCCCACAAGAGCTCTCCGGATGTCTCTCTTTCACCAGAAACCAACGAGTCGGGAGCTAGAGCAGCAAAGGTGGCAGTTGGTGCTTACAGCCACACCCCTTGACCTCTGCTCCGTCCTCACATGGGCCCTCCCTCTGTCCCTCTGTCCACAGCATCGCTCAGACAGGGGGAGCACCCGCTGCTCCAGGGTGGCCTCCCATGGACCTCAGTGACAGCATCTGCAAGGGCCAGGCTGCCACACAGGGTCACGCTCTCACGCCCCTCACCCTGCCTCCTGGGGGACACTTGACCCCTCATGTCCCCTGCAGGAGTTATTGTCCTAAGCCGACCTCTTGCCCCTACAGAGAGGACCAACACTCAGGCATGTGACACCCAGGACAGATCTGGGGAAGGGTGACCATCCACAGTGTGGGGTCCCACTGACACCCCCAGTCCTGAGGGAGTGGGCTTCTCCTGTTTCACTGGCCCGTGGCTGGCCACCACACCCCGCCCTTGGACTGCACGGCCTTGCTCCTCAGAGATGAGCCCAGGGGCAGCCGGGCAGCCCAGTGCCAGTGCCAGGGGTGACATCTGCTGGCAGGCCTGGGTTCAGGTGCCACAGTGTCCTTGTCCCCAGCTGGGAGATGCTGGTCATGAGGGGGCCATAGACTAGAAAGACCGGGCTCCTGGCTCCCACCTCCCAGCTGGGCTTGGTGCACAGTGGACCACGTGCAGGAGGCCAAGTCCTCACTGTCTGAACCAGGCACCAGGGGCTGGAGCGGGCATCCATCGAGTTACAACTGGCCCCACCGGCTCACCCAGCAGCCCTCTGTGGGGACCACAGCCTTGCTACCTGTCACCTGAGCTCTGACATCCTCCTCTGTGGAGTGGGCGTCTCAATACAGCATGCCACACTGACACTGCTGTGGGGGGACCCCTGCCCCTCCCAGGCAGGCCGACTTCTCCACCCACTGTGGGTGAGCACATCCCTTACAGGACGGGAAGAGGTCCTGGTCCCCACTGTGAGCTGCCCCTGAGAGGAGACAGCATCCAAAGGTGTTTTTATAAGGCCCCCACTGTCCTCCAGGGGACGCCGATACACAGTGACCCTGCAGGACAGGACAGTAGAACTGCTGCCCTTGCAGAGAGCAGCCCTGGTGGGCCGGGTCCCCGCTGGGCGACTCACCGTAAGGTCAGCAGTTTGCAATACCGAGCTGCTCCCCACGAAATGGGCGAGACTCTCTGCCGGAGGAAGAGCCGGTCCGTCCCCGCAGGGGCAGCTGCACACTGTCCTGCAGGACTGTGGTGAGCCAGCAGTGACCCCACGGCACTATCTCGCTGTCCGTGTTGATTTGAATCATCAGGTTCACAGGCGGTCGCCCGAGTGCCTGGCCCTGGTCTACCCTGAGTGGGCTGCGTATGAGAGAGCAGACACGCTGCAGACCGACAAGGGCCGGCCGTGGGAGAGGGGAGGTGGGCAGGACAGGAGAGGCACAGGGACAGAGGCTGGATGGGGCGGGAGGTCACAGGAGGAATATGGGGAGGGGGAGGCTCAGGCTGCACCTCCTGACTCGGCCAGAATGCCCAAGGGTGGCGGCAGGCAGGCTGGCGCCTCGGGGAAGGAGGGGCGGCAGCTGGGGGGAGGTGACATCCTGTGTGTCACTGGGTGACACAAGCCCCAGGGACACCACTGCTGGGGGCATGCCTGCACGTGGCTTCCGGCCTCCAGAGCTGAGGCAGCAAACCCTGGCTGGACACTCGCCTGGCCGGCATGGCAGAGCCCGCTGCGCAGAGCACGCTGGGAGCAGAGCTCCTGCCTGGGTCACATGGATCGGGGCTGAACCAGATGCTTGAGGGCTGACCCTCATCCTGGGCACATCTGCTCTGTGCCCCGCCCACCTCCACCTCCATTTCACCCACCCCCACTGCAGGCCACTACCCGCTGGCCGACCTCCCTGGCCCAAGGCTCCTGGCCTCAGAGCTAACTGTCCACCCAGCGCTCGGTCACGGGGCTTGCTGAGTCTGCCTCCAGCTCTGTAAGCTTGGGGAGCCCAGAACCCCCACTGCAGACGGGCATGGGGGTGTCACAGCTCACAGAGCGGGTACTCTGAAGCCAGGAGAAGCCAGGTGGCTGGGCCAGCCCCCCCATGTCCTCTCCAGGGACCCTTGGCCAGAGACCCCGGGTCACGTCACGGGTCTGTCTGCTGGTGGGTGGTGACCTCATGGTGCTGGCAGGGCAGATGCCGAGTCAGCACAGTTGCCGTCCCTCCCTCTGATGGCAGAGGCTGGGTAGCTGGGGGAGTCACACTGAGCCCAGGAGGCCAGTCCACTCTCCCTGTGCCCTTCGCTGTCCCTGCTGCTTCCCCAAACAGCCTCAGTGTCCAGTCCCCAGGGCCAGAGGGGGGCAAGGGCAGCAGACCCAGAGCAGTGTGTCAGGAAATCAGGGGCATGTGGGTTACCCCATCACCAGCCCGGTCACCAGCACTTACTGTTGGGTAACCAGCTCTTAACTACCAGGGTAACCAGCCCTGTTACCATCTCTGAAACTAGCCTGGTCCCCAGCCCTCCACCACCTTGGTTTCCCTCATGACCACCAGCCTGGTTACCAGCACGCCCTGTGGTCCGGCCTCAGGGCCCCGTGACTCCCCGCCCCAGCCCAAGTCGTCTCTGAGAGTTTGGGCAGAGAGTGAAAAGCAGAGACGGGTCAGATTGGGCGCAGTCCCAGTGCCCAGGAGGGGCCCCCACACCTGCTCTCCTGGCGGCTGCTGCTCGCAGGGCCTGCTGGACGGCAGGCCCGATGGCTGTCTGGCTCTGGCTGGCCGGCCACTGGGCTGAAGGGCCGCCCACAGCACAGCTGACTGCTTGCTGCCCCCGCCCTGCTTCCTGCCCCACTTCCTTCTGCGCCGTGCCGGTGGGCAAGCAGGCCAGCTCTGCCCAGGTTGATCATTAGCCCCCCCCCCCCACCGGGACTGGCTCCAGCCCTGCCCCTGTGTGTGCCTGCGGCCCAGGCCTGTGCTGCAGCCCCCAGGACCCCGCGTGGGCACCACATTTGGGGAAGTCCACCAGCTGCCAGCCCTCTGTCCCTGCCATGCTCAGAACTACTCTCTGTTCCTCTTCCCCTTACTGCGCACACCCTCTGCACACGGGCACTGTGCACACCCACAACATACCCGCTTGTACGCCCACAAACACGCCTGTGAACACACAGGCACAGACATACATGTATGTTCATGGGCACATGTCTGTCATGGTTATATGTGAACACATGTGCATGAATACACACACATGCACACAGACACAGAGAGAAGTGGTAAGTGTATGCACAGTGCACTAACAGATGTGTGCGTACACACAGATGAGCTTAAAACATGAGTCTAAGTGTACAGACACGCTGATGTGTGTGCTGTGAACCCATGTACACCTTGCACTAATACACACAGACACATGCGTGTGAGTAACAGACACTGCATGGTACACTAACACAGAGACACATGTGTGTGAATATCAGACACTGCATGGTGCACTAACACAGAGACACATGCATGTGAGTACCAGACACTGCACGGTGCACTAACACAGAGACACATGCATGTGAGTACCAGACACTGCACAGTGCACTGACACACACAGACACACGCATGTGTGCCTTTGTGTGCACACATAGGCACACATGTGCATGTACAAATAAACGTATACTCTGCGGGCACATGAACATTTCTTGTGTACATGCAGGCACCTATTCACATGTAAGCACATAGAAATACAAGCCCATGTGAGCAGACACACCCATGTGCATGCACACCCAAACACATGTATGTGCACACACAGGCACACGTGTCCACTGGCCCAATCAGCAGGGATGAGACCAGGGAGCTCTCTGTCCACAAAGCCTGATTGAGCAGCTACTCTGTCCTTCCCATTGGCCCAGGCTCTCGCCCACCTGCCTCACACCTCAGCCCCCACCCGCAACACCCTCCCGAGGCTCAGACAAGGGTGCCAGCCTCTGCCAGAGCTTCGCCAGGGACCTCCCGGTGAAGAACCACTTGTGTGCTCATTCCGCAGATGGAAGACCGAGGCTGGACCAGGCAACAGTCACACTGTGACCACCTGAGGCCGCGGGAGCTGCGGGCCAGGTGTTCTCAGCGGCCGCAGCAGCGGCTGTCCTGGAGAGCGCCTTGGCCAGGGCCGGCCCTTTCTGAGCAGCGCAGTGTTTGCTCGTACCCAGCTGCTTCCCAGGAGACCCAGATCCCTACTCCAG